AGCCAGTGATTAGAGAAATTACTCTGCAGACTTTTCTCTAAGGGAACATGTACATACACATACATGTGCATATACACATATGTGCACATATACACCTGGTGGACAAATGGAACAAAGTTCCAACAAGCAGGCTCCAAGCTTTTCACACATATACATACATACATACATACATACATACACACACACACAATTGGTGGATGGAGCAAGCTACAACACACACTCAGACATATATACATACATACAGATTTGATGGATGGAACAAAGTTCCAACATACTCTACACAAACTTTACACATATACATACATGCACATATATACACACAGGGTGGAAGGAACAAAGTTCCCACAGACTCTCGCATGAACTTTACATATATCCTTACATACATACATACACATAGTTAATGGATGGAAAAAAACATGTTCCAACAACTTTATTTTTCCTTCCATAGCTTGTATGGAAGGAAAATCTTTCAAGCAGTACAAAATTAGAATGTGATTGCATACTATTTTTTTAGTGAATGATTATGAAAAAACAGTGTGTTCCCCAATAGCTTTATAGGAAATAATATTATGCAGTACAGGCAAAGAAAACAAGTTGTTCTAAAAAAATTCATGTACATTCATAACTAAGCAACTTGTTATAGATTAACAAAGTATAAGCAAGCAAGGTACTTTTCTCAGCCAGTTTCTCTTACTAGCAGGCAGCAATTGCAGTTACAAAGAAAGGAGTAATTATTTTATTATTTATCCTTAAAAGTAATCTTATAGTAATCTTAGGCACAAATCTAAACTCTAAATCAGTCATATTTATTTTAAACTCTCAGAATGAACATCTACACATCAGCAATTTTTATTAAATCACATCAGGAAGCTGAGGGCAAAAATAGGTATTAAAAGGGGCTGGAGAGATGTCTCAGCGGTTAAGAGCACTGACTGCTCTTCCAGAGGTCCTGAGTTCAATTCCCAGCAACCACATGGTGGCTCACGGCCATCTGTAATGGGATCTGATGCCCTGTTCAGGTGTGTCCGAAGATAGCTACAGTGTATTCATATACATAAAATAAATAAGTAAATCATTTTTTTAAAAAAATGGGTATAAGAAATCAGTCGCCAGGGGCTGGTGAGATGACTCAGTGGTTAAGAGCACTGACTGCACTTCCAGAGGTCACGAGTTCAAATCCCAGCAACCACATGGTGGCTAACAACCATCTGCAATGATATCTGATGCCCTCTTGTGGGGTGTCTGAAGACAGCTACAGTGTACTTACATATAATAAATAAATAAAAAAAAAAAAAGAAAAAGAAATCAGTCGCCAGGCAGTGGTGGTGCACGCCTTTAATCCCAGCACTTGGGAGGCAGAAGCAGGCGGATTTCTGAGTTCGAGGCCAGCCTGGTCTACAGAGTGAGTTCCAGGACAGCCAGGGCTACACAGAGAAACCCTGTCTTGAAAACCAAAAAAAAAAAAAAGAAAAGAAAAAAGAAATCAGTCATCACCAGTCTAGCCTCAGTGAGAGTCACATCAGCCAGTGCTGCTGTTGTTCTAGTTCCCTGAACCATAAATGGTCCCTAGCTTAACTAATAAGTGTGTGCCTTTCTGAACTTCAGATTGTCTCTAAGATTTTCTATATCAGAGCCAGTAGTAAAAATGTCTCAATCTAGCTTCACTAGCAACTTTATTTTTCCAAATGTTTTCTAAGGGTGGTGGTCATTGCTCACAATCTAAGTTCTTTCCTAGGGTGGTGATTGAGTCATTAATCTGCTCCAGCAGCAAGGCCTGAAAGAGATCAAGCATTGTTACTGTGAGTGCCAAAGACACTGCCCAGTGATGCTAGAAGCCCCTTAGAGTTTTCATAATTCTTAGATCAAGAGGGAAATAAGGGCAAGAAGCAGAGCAGAACTCCCATCACAGCATGAATCCTCAGGGCCACACCTCAACTGAGGGGCACCCATCCTGGCTGTGCTAACTGGTGGACCAAATTTACTTCATGAATTCTAAAACCATTTATCCTTCCTCCTGCATGGTCCTCGGCACTTCAGATTATCAGTTGTCTCCCAAGTATTTGTGAGGCTTAGGGATTAGTTCAGTGGTGATGTGTTTGCACAGAATCCTGGGTCTGGTCCCCAGCAACGAAAAAATTAGAATAGAGGGAGAAAGGGAGGGCAAGCATGTGGGTGGGATGGCTTAGCTAATAAAGGCGCCCGCCACCAAATCCAACCTGTGGTACCACATGGTGGTTGAAGAGAATTCCCACAAATTGTCCTCTGCCCACCACACATGTCCTGTGGTACTTGAATACACACACACACACACACACACACACTCACACACACACACACACACTCTTAATGGGGGAAAATATAGGGGGAAAAAAAACTTTTGGCCTGACTCATAAATGCCATTTTCTGTCTGTTTCATTCTGTTTTGTTTTGAGGCGGTCTCACTGTATAGCCCTGGCTGGTCTAGAGAACAGAGATAAGACTGCCTCTGCCTCCCAAGTGCTGGGATTAAATTATTTCATCACTCCTGGCTTTCAAACTTCTTCATTTTCTTAATTTTTCTTGAAATTAAAGTGATAGCATTTTCCTCTTCCCTTCCCCAGCCTTCACCCACACTCTTCAAACTCATGGCCACTTTTTCTTTAATTGTACACACATATATAATATATTCCTAAATATACAAATACAACCTTCTCAGTCTGTATAATGTTACATTTATGTATATGATTTCAAGGTTGACTGTGTTGTTGGATAACCCATCAATGCGACTCTCCCTGGAAAGAGAGAGTCTACCCCACTCAGCTTTGGTTAGTTGCCTATAGCTCTGCCTCTGGGTTAGGGCCCTGATAGCTTACACCCTCTGTGTTAGCATGCCTTTTGGTTCCCTTGTTCAGGTCTTCGTTCTTTGGTTTTGTTTTGTTGTTTGTTTATGTGTTTTACAGTTGTTTTTTTAAAATTTGAGTCTAAAAAGATTTGTATGTTGTAATTATTTGCTGTATTTCTTAAGTATTTTCCAATCTTAAGTTTCCTTGTCTAAACTTACCCCTTGTGACTTAATTGTTGAAGAAATGGTCTCTGTATTGCATGTTTCCCACAGCCTAGAGTTCCCCTCAAATTGTCCTTTGCTTCAAGGTTTCCGGTGCTACCGGCTGTCTCCACCATTTCCTGTGAGCGGGTGGTTGCAGCTAGAGGTTTGATCAGACACAGATCTTACTTCCTTGTTAGCTGTAGCCAATGGCAGCTTTGTTGGTCTCTTGCATGTGACTTGAAATAGATTTTACCTTTTTTTTTTTGAATGTTTGCTCGGTGCACACCATGCTTTGCAGGCATTTGTCTTTAATCTTAGTGGGGCCTCATAGTGTAGTGCTAGCACCTGCCAATTTATAGCCGATGATCAGACTTCTTGTTAGGGCCAAGTAATCGCAAAAGATTTTTAGACCTCTTAGTTCCATTGTGTTGCATATGATATAATTGTGTGTGTGTGTGTGTGTGTGTGTGAACTCACTTAGTGCTATATAAAAATGTTTTGCATTAAAAGCTCTTTTACATTTAGTAATAAAATTCAAAGTCCTGAATTATTTGTACTGGGATTCGCCATCTGTGAAACCCCTTGAGGACAGACGTCTGAACTGCAGATAGGACCCTGTCCCTCTGAGCTGTCTGCGCTGTCTCCCGCTCAGCACGGGGACTCATGGCTCTTTCTGCTTTCTCTGCAGGCTCCTCCTGCTCACAGTATCCTACTGTTCCCAAGTGTGAGAAACTGGCTTGGGAATATAAAGGCAAAACTAGCTTTTCATTGTGTGTGTGCATCTTTAATTTATGCTGCTCAGTTCTATCTGTAGTCCTCAGTTCTACTGTTCATTAAATCAAACCACTGGAACTCTAGATCCAAAAAGTAAATATCAGGCTGTGTTGACCAACCGCTGTCACCTTTGACTATTGAATGGCTGACCTTAGAAAGGCATCAATAGCTGACATCAGATATCAGAGCAGGGAGCAGCGGACACAAAACATTGCAAAGAGGATCCTATTGTGTGGCTTTGCCCATTGGTGTGCAGGGAATAATTTATGCTTTTCTTTTTGTTTTCCTTTTTGATGTTGATTTTGCTTTGTTTTCTCCTTTTGAGGCAGGAGCTTATATAGCCTTGACTGGCAACTCAGTGTAACTAACAGTGACCTTGAACTTCTGATTTACCTACCTCCATGTTGTCTAGTCCCATGTTGTCTAGGCTTCTTCCATCTCCCTAGTGCTGGGATACAGGTTTGCACCACCATACCTAGCTAAGTCTCAGTCCCTCCCTCCCTCCCTCCTTCCCTCCCTCCCTCCTTCCTTCCCTCCCTCCCTCC